GGGTGGGGGCCCCCACAGTTGTGTGCACACGGCCGCACACAAACAGAGGTGCTGTCTTGGGAGAGAGACAGCAAGCGAGGCAAGGCTTTTTTTTTACTCTTGACAACAGAGGACACGTGGGCACTTCGGGGGCAGGCAAGGTGGGGGCCACAAACTATCATCCGGCGGGCCACAAATGGCCCCCGGGCCGCATGTTTGAGACCCCTGATCTACAGGGTTGTTTCCACCTCTGTGGAAGGTGTTATTCTTATCGCATCTTGTTATACTTTTCTCCCCCCCCACCCCCGCTTCAGGGTTTGCTGAAATGACCGTGAAAGTGGTACAAGAAGAAGAGCTGTGCAGCCTGCACCAGTCGGAGGCTGAGACCTCGCCAGCCAGCAGCTCAGGTAAATTGTGGACTACTAACATATGAATGTTTTTTTTTTTTTTTGCACCATAGATGTGGGGGGGTTAAATATCTGTGGAGGTTTGTCTGGTCCCCATGCACAGGAAAAAGAAGGAACATTTTCCCCCTCTTATATGAGAGAGAGACAAGTATTAAGCACAATAAGAGTTTTCACATTTTCAAAAACATATTTTTGTGCAGGGAACACAAATTGCAAAAAAAAACCCCTCTAACAGCTGCTGCTTTGTTTTCTGATGAATACATACTATATATACGATATACTGTACTAGCACAGGAAAAAGAAGGAACATTTCCCCCCTCTTATATGCAAGAGAGACAAGTATTAAGCTTATATTTCTGCAGGTAACACAAATTGCAAAAAAACCTCTAACAGCTGCTGCTTTGTTTTCTGATGAATACTATTCCAAAAAAAACTATATACTGTACTATGCTATACTACAGGAGTTCCCAAGCTTTTAAACCCCACGGACTGGCTGGGGAAGGCGGGGCACCCCCTCACTGGAGGCCCAAGGTTGGGGGCCACTGCTATGCTATACTACAGGAGTTCCCAACCTTTTAAACCCCACGGACTGGCTGGGGAAGGCGGGGCACCCCCTCACATGTGCGTGCATGTGCAAAGGAGCGGGAGGGTGCTCGTGCAGGCACTCGTGTACAAACGGCAGTGCTCATGCGCATGCATAAATGGCAGCGCGGCACTTGTGCAGGTGCTTGTCCGCGTGTGCAAAATGGTGGGGGAGCAGTTGCATGGGTGCTGGTGTGTGCATGTGCAAAGGGGCTGTGCATGCAGGGACAGACCAGCAGAGGGCCGCGGACCGGGTCTTGGGGACCTCTACTTGTACTGTACTGTACTGTACTGATACAGTGGTGCCTCGCAAGACGAGTTCTCCATTTTACGACGAAATCGCATAACAACGAAGTTTTTGCGATTGCAAAACGATGTTTCCTATGGGGAAATTTCGCAAAACGCAAATTTTCCTACAGCTGATTGGCAGTTTCAAAATGGCCGCCGGGTTAAAAAAAATGGCCGCCCGCTGTTTTCTGGGACGGATTCCTCATTGCACGGGCAGCGAAAATGGCCGCGCTATGGAGGATCTTCGCTGTGAGTTGAGTTTCAAGCCCATAGAAACGCATTAATCGGGTTTTAATGCATTTCTGTGGGCTTTTTAATTTCGCTTTACGATGTTTTCATCTTAGTGCGAGGCACCACTGTACTATACTGTACTGTACTGTACTGTACTGTACTGTACTGTACTTGTAAGTACTCTAAAGAGACCTTGTGCTCTTAAGAAAATCAAGTCAGTGTGGTTAATGCCTTATGGGAATTGTGATCCAGATTGTCCACAGTCACCAGGCTAGGGAAGGCTACTCAAAAGTAACCAAACCCCCCTTGTTATTGAGATGGCAAAGCACCTCCCACCTCCACCATGACATGAACTGCCCTCCCCTCTTTCTCCATTGTGCCTGCTGTCATCAAAAAACTTCAATGGAATATCTAAAGGAATTTTTTGCACCTATTTCCATGTAAGAAAAGTCTGATCACTCTAAAAGGAGAAATGAGTTCCATATTTTTGTAGAAAATCAGCACAAGGACACCCTTTTCTGTCCATCAGTCACGGCGTTCAGAAGGTTTGATTGCTCCAGCCAGTCGGTGGAGGGACCACTGCCGCCCTGCTGACTGTTTCCTCTTGCCTTCTTTCCTGATTCAGGATTTCCTGACATCATAATGAAAGAAGAGGACGACGAAGGCCCATCTTACCACCAGACTGCTGGTAACCAGTCAGGTAAGGGAGCAGCTCACAGATTTGGAGATTCACGATCAGAACCCGCTCAGAAGATATCAGGTTTTCCTGTTGTTGTGTTGTGTTTTACTCCAAGCCCTTCCATTGAGTTTTCTGAACAACAACCCCTGTTCAGGGTTTGAGAGGGAGGGTGTTTCCCGTGACTTGACATTATTATTAATTTTTTTTGACTCCTGGGGGGCACTTTTTCATCTCTTTAAGGGCAAACAAGTGACCTTTAATGAGGTTCAATCGTAGACGCATTCTTTTCAACTTTTACTATTGTATTCCATTGTAAGCGGCTCCTTTTCAAGGAGAAAAAAGGTGGGGTGACAATATTTTAAATTAAAAAAATATAAGATCAAACAAATATTCCTTTGAGGTGTATGTTGAAGATTACTTTTAGTCCACAAAAGTCTGGTTTCACTATCCTCTCTACTGAACCACAGGGCAGTGCTGGGGGTTTCCTCCAGCCACGCCACCTTCCACTCCCTGCGTGTCTCAGTGTGAGACTCTCAGGTAGGCAGACTTAGAAACTCGTGGCAAACTCCACGAGGATTAACAGTAATGATCTGCAACAGGGGAACAAGCATACTTTTAAGTTTCTGCGCTGCAAAACCGAGGAGGGACATGCATCCTTCACTAGCCTGCTCCTGACCTGTTTGCCCAGAACTTGCACATTTTGATTGCAGTTCCTGATTCTGTAGGACTGCCGTGGAAGCGTTTTAAAACCAAGGCCGTATTAAATTTGTTGCCGTAGAACGCGAGACGAATATCTGTTTGGTTCTGTACAGTTTCGGCCAATATAATTCTCACTGGGCTTGTTTTAAGCTCTCTCCTTTCTTTTTGTTGTTCCCCCATTTTAAAAACATCTCCGGACTGCAAAACCCACCCATCCCGAACTTGCCCAGTACAGTGGTGCCCCGCATAGCGACGTTAATCCGTTCCAGGATTAACGTCGCTATCCAGAATCGTCGCTAAACGGAAAGAAAAACCCCATATGAACACATTAAACTCAGTTTATTACATTCCTATTGGGTAAAAACTCACAGTTGAGCGAAGATCCTCCATAGCGCCGCCATTTTTGCCACCTCAGTAAGCGAGGGCAGCGCGCGAAAATGTTGCGGGCGGCCATTTTGGGCACCCGGCGGCCATGTTGGAACCGCCAATCAGCTGTTTAAAAAAACATCACAATGTGAAGATCGGTAAGCGAAACGCTTACCAATCATCGCAATGCGATTTTCGGCCATTTAGATCATCGCAATGCGATCGCATTAGCAATTGCAAAAAACGCGTCACTATGCGAATTCGTCGTTAAACGGTGCACTCATTATGCGAGGCACCACTGTACCTGCCTTCTGGGTATGGGAGATACTGTATTGCTCACCCAGGAAAGTAGAATACCAATTTGTCTACAAGCTGGCTGGGAAGGGCCAGAAAAAAGATTAACAGTAATGATCTGCTATGATGGAGAGAAAAGGGGGCATACACCAACAGGGGCGGTGGCGGGGGGGGAGATTTTAAATGCAAACCATGGTATTGCATACAGTTCCTCTTGACAGCAGTTAGCTAGCCTTTGTTGGCCAAAGGATGTCTAGTCTTCTCCAGAGGGCTTTTCCTCGGTTTCGATGTACTAACCCAGGGAGCTGACTTTTCCCCTCCCTTAAAGCATACCCCTATACCACCCGTGGCCATCTTTATGGCTACGAAGGAGAGAGAGTGGGTCAAGGGAGACGGTAGGGCTCTCGTAACCCTTTCTGCCATCCACGGTCCAGCCCAACCTCCCTCTGATCCACCTCACCAGTAGGCCCTAACCGTGGCTTCTCACATAGAGATCAGGTGGCAGCATACCCACCCCACCCTGGAAAAACTATACAGTTAGGACTGCGATATCTGTGGGGATCCATTCCGAGCCGTGCCCCATCGCCCCATGCTGAAAAAATGTGGAAGTATTGAATGCTACACATTGCATAGTTCTCTGTCTCCCTCTAGTGGCCAGGTCTGGAAAATCCATATTTCTGAGGTTTTTTAAAATTTAGTATTTTCAGGCAAGTGGATAAATGTATCAGTGGATAGTGATCCTACTGAGAGAGGCGTCCTGTAATTAAAACAGTTCACTGCCCAATTTCTTGAAAGCTGCTAAACGCCTGCTCTTCACTTGTTGCTGGAAGGACAAAAGGGAGGGGACCTCCTTTGTTTTCTTTCTTGTTTTCGTTTTTTAAAAATTACAATGTGTGCCTCATTCTGGGACAGTAAAAATTCAAAGGGCCGTACTATACTTCCAGAATGAGTAAATGTGGAGCTAGTGTGTGGATGGCCATTGGCCACAGTGCTTGTGGGATTCAAGAAACTGTAATCCATTTTTCAAGCTCTGTTCTTGTCCAGCCTGTTGCAGCAAAAAGGATCAAGTCCATGGCCTCAAAAAGACTTAATTATTTAGCATTTTTATTGTTTTTCACCATATAAAAATTATTTTATCATATAGAAAATTATTTTTATCATATATAAAGAACACTGGTTATATAGTAGGACCCTCTTATCCATAGGATCGTTATCTGCTGGTTCATTTATCATAGTCTGAAAATACTAAAAGAAAAAAAGCCCAAAATATATCCGTTTGTTTTCGTTTTTTAAAAATTACAATGTGTGCCTCATTCTGGGACAGTAAAAATTCAAAGGGCCGTACTATACTTCCAGAATGAGTAAATGTGGAGCTAGTGTGTGGATGGCCATTGGCCACAGTGCTTGTGGGATTCAAGAAACTGTAATCCATTTTTCAAGCTCTGTTCTTGTCCAGCCTGTTGCAGCAAAAAGGATCAAGTCCATGGCCTCAAAAAGACTTAATTATTTAGCATTTTTATTGTTTTTCACCATATAAAAATTATTTTATCATATAGAAAATTATTTTTATCATATATAAAGAACACTGGTTATATAGTAGGACCCTCTTATCCATAGGATCGTTATCTGCTGGTTCATTTATCATAGTCTGAAAATATTAAAAGAAAAAAAAAAAAGCCCAAAATATATCGGTATTTCTAACAATGTCATTATCAGAGCTGGCCACTAGAGGATGCCAGAGACTACACTACATGCTGTATGTATAGCATTCACAGTGATAATAGAGCTCACTATAATCCACATTTTTTGGCATCCGTGGGGGGCTTGGAACCGATTCCCTGTGGATATGGGGGTCCTACAGTATAACAAGTGTTTTTTCACCATGCTTTGCCTCGGTGCTTTCCTTGGTTGTTTGCTCCCCTTTCTCCCATTCATTCCCATGCCTCTGTGGCTTCCTATGCACTGATTTGTTTTTAATTCAACTGCTTCTAAAAATAAGTGCTTGCTAAAAAAATAAATAAAAGAACTGCTTGATAGCTCAGTAGTTCAGGCGTCTGGCTGCAAAGCCAGCTTCACAGTTCCAAGATAATAATTATTACACTACATTACATGAGCTTTTGTCCAGAACTTGCAACATTTACCTAGAGAAGTGAACTAGGATGAGGAGGTACAATTTTAAATCTTTGATCACCCGAAGGACGTCTCTTTTATTGGTCAAATCTACCTGGATGCAGCAGCGAGCGCATTTCTTAGAAAACAGTTGGGAAGGAAAAATGTCTGTTTTCATTTTCTGCATCTGTGCTTTTCCAAGGGACAGAGAGGTACTTAAAATTAAAACTCGGGCTCTAGGCCAGTTCAGGGTTCAAATGGGCCTCAGGTGGCCTGGTTTGAATCCAAATAACGCTCAGTTAACTGGGCAGAATGGCAACTTTGTCTTCCCCTCAACTTCAGCCATTAGTTCCAGGAGGAAATGGGTCTTCTCAGAGGGTGTTTTACGATACATTTATTTGAGAAGCACTTCGGTTTAAAAACAAATCTCTTTTTTTAGAAAATAAAATTTCTTCCGGACAATTCCGTCAACCGGCTTCTCTGCTCCTCTAGCAAAATGATCTCATGTTGAAGACGGCGAGCTGTTAGCGAATGACGTGTGGCCGCTCCGCCGACCCCTTGTTTCCCTTTTTTCCTTCAATTCAGGATTTCCTCACACTGTCATAAAGCGAGAGGGGGAAAAGAGGCCGCGGACCCAGGAGGAATCTGTGGAAAGCCCTGTTGGTGAACAGTCAGGTGAGGGAACTGTTTGTTATACCTAAAGGCTTGTGAGTCATATAAACTCATCTGATGCTGTCAGTCTCATACCAAGTTACCTTCCTGAGGCCAGAGACCAAAAGCCTCTCATCCGGGGTTTAAGGCACAGAATCCCATTATCTTTGGGCACCCTGTGTATACTGGGTTGAGGGGAGGAGTCATAGCCATAACTCGGGGAGGGTGGCTGAGGCGTTTTGAACCCAAGACATAGTCTGGGGCACTTGGTAGGGTGAGAGACTGAGATTCAGGAAGGCTTGCGTTTGAGTTACTTCTTCGCCATGAAAACCCACTGGGGTGGTGGCAACACCAGCAAAGCCACTCCTGAAAGATCTTGCTTACTTTGAAAACCCTCATTAGGGTTGCTTTTAAGTCAGATGTGACTTGACACCATGTGGCAACACGTGCACACATCGTACCAAAAGGCTGCTGGGGTGACATAACCTTTTCTCCTCTCTGACACTTCCTGTGCTCGTATTTGTTTCTGGATGGGCTCACGCCTGTTGAAAAATATATTAAAGAAGGTTGCGAGACACCGAGATAAGGTGTTCAAAATATACTTTATCTAAGTCTCTTAGGGAAAAGGTATATGGGAATTCCTAATAAACAAACATAACATCGAAAACATATTACATACCATATAATTGAGCAAAATAAGCAACAGCAGTCAAGGTAATGCTGATAAGTAGGCAAACTCAAAAGGTTCTGCCTTGCTCGTAGCTTCGCACCGTCCGAGGGAGGGTGTCGAGATAGAGGGTGAAACAGACTACATTTAAAAGGCTAATTTATTACAGGGAACACATGAGGTTCCTTTCACGGTTATCCATTAAAGAGAAAGACATGTTACATATTAATATTACAACAACGCCTTCCAAAGCCACTTCTTCCTCGGCAAAAGGAATAGAAAATGGGGCAGTGGGTGGGTGCTTGGAGCTGAACCAAGCTGGCCACCAGACACGGGCATGGCTCCCTATTCCTCTCTCCTCCCCTGGCATAGGCTGACCTCATATAAGTCCCAAGTACCAAAACAGCTAGATACACCACTGGCAACAAACTCTTGGCATTTATTTGCTGGGTCCTCGTGTTTAGCCCTTAACATCCAGATCTGAATCACTCACTATGGACTCAACTTTACGTAGTGAAAAACAGCTGGATACACCACTGGCAACAAACTCTTGGCATTTATTTGCCGGGTCCTCGTGTTTAGCCCTTAACATCCAGATCTGAATCACTCACAATGGACTCAACTTTACGTAGTGAGTGACTGGAGTGATTCAGCTTGGCTGCGGTCTGATGGGGAGCCCACTTGATGCTTCATTCGAATGGCCTATTAACAACACAGGGCGCCAACGAATTGCTTTCTCAATCTGATGTTGTGCCATCCGCATTTCAGTCCGCTTCCCCGCTCTTCCTTCCTTGGATCCTGCCTCTGAGGATCCCTTTTACGTTTCACTGTCAAGCCACTTGGTTTTCAAAGGGTTGTACAGTGTTGGGAAAGGCGGCAGCTTTCCAGAAGTCTTTGGAACATACAAAGTCATACACACACTGCAGGAAGAGGCGTCCTCTTCTGTATGTGGATGGGGGTTCTGTTTCCTAGCCCATTTGTTTTCTTTGTGGAAGGTGTTATGGTGCTAAACCTTCTCAGGTTTCGTGGAACTTCCAGCACTCGGACTGCAATGCATTCACGCTGCACGAGGCCTGCCAGTAAATCAGTGGCTTAATCCCCTGTTCCTTTACCCAAGAGCAGGAAGACCCTATTGACTTTCTCATACCCTTTGCGGATGCCTGAAATGGCAGCAGAGGACACTAGTCCTCCATCCTGACACCCATCCGCTGTGTTGCAAACTACCCCACATCTCAAACCTAGCTCCTAGGGAAGACTGCTGCGGCTTCTCCTGTGGCTTCTCGTGCGTCCAACGAAGGCTGCACGAGTTGGCCCCTAAAATAGGTGAATGTAGATTTGCCTCGCTCACGGAGTTATGGTAAGGACTGTGGCTGCTGCCATCAGCAAATAGAATTATAAAATGAACCAAAAAGCAAATGTCCTTTTGTTTTATTCGGTACCGGTGGAGAAGGGAGAATTTCCTCAGTGCCTTCCTGCATGGGCAAACCAAGGCCAAGCCTAGCTGTTGAGTTGCAAAGAAAGACATTACAATGCAATAGCTTGAAACCATATTTGTCTTCTCTAATTTGCAAGTCCTGCAAAGAGAACCAAAATCCTTCACCTGGCCATGGGGGGTGTGGGGGCAGAGACATACAAGAAAGTGGTGACAGGCTGGTCACTCCATGAGCGGTTGATGCCCAGGAGTCTCTTGAGTGAACTGCCTTGTTACCTAGTGGTTGGAGCAGTCTCTTGTGGGGAGCGGGGGTTGGGGGAGCAGAAAGGTGCTTCAGTTGAAGACTGTTTTCCCCACTTGAGCTTATTTATTTATTTATTTGATTTTTATACAACCCATCTGGAGAAATCTGCTCTGTGCAGTGTACAATCAAACACAGATAGGATTAAACAAACAATAAAAATGAAATAAGAAACAGAGTGCTGTCCTCTGAAGATGCCCATGGCCACAGAGACTGGTGAAACGTTAGGAAGAACAACCTTCAGAACACGGCCAAAGAGCCCGAAAAACCACAACCACCAAAATAAGAAATGTTAACATGTGAAAATCCAAGATGGGAAAGACGAGAGAAGGAGCGAAGTACAGTACTAGCTGGTGGGAAGGCCTGACAAAACAACCAGGTCTCCAATTTACTCTTGAAAGCTCCAGGGGGGGGAGGTGGATCTCAGTGGGCAGTGTGTTCCAAAGGGGGCCACCACCGAAAAGGCCTGGTTTTTAGTTTTTTCCTTCCGGGCCTCTTGGGGTTAGGCCCCTCAGCTGCCCAGACTGGCTAGAATAGATGTTATGAGTAGATCTAAGTGGGAGGAGGTGCTCTGCCAGGTATCGAGGTCCTAAACCATTTAGGGCTTTATATGTAATTGTTAGAATCTTGAATTCAATGTGTAAGCGAATAGGTAACCAGTAAAAGGCGGCCAAGGTGGGGGAAATATGATGGAATCTTTTCACCCCAGTTTGTAACCTAGCCTCCATATTCTGGACCATTTGAAGTTTCCACATCAATCTCAAAGGAAGCCCCATGTAGAGAGCATTACAGTAATCTAATCTCGCGACTACAAGTGCATGGACAAGGGTGGTGAGCGACCCAACATCAAGATAGGAGTGCAGCTGGGCAATCCACCGAAGATGTAAATGGGTGGAGCGGACCACTTACCAAAAGGCTGCTGGGGTGACATAACCTTTTCTCCTCTCTGACACTTCCTGTGCTCGTATTTGTTTCTGGATGGGCTCACGCCTGTTGAAAAATATATTAAAGAAGGTTGCGAGACACCGAGATAAGGTGTTCAAAATATACTTTATCTAAGTCTCTTAGGGAAAAGGTATACGGGAATTCCTAATAAACAAACATAACATCGAAAACATATTACATACCATATAATTGAGCAAAATAAGCAACAGCAGTCAAGGTAATGCTGATAAGTAGGCAAACTCAAAAGGTTCTGCCTTGCTCGTAGCTTCGCACCGTCCGAGGGAGGGTGTCGAGATAGAGGGTGAAACAGACTACATTTATAAGGCTAATTAATTACAGGGAACACATGAGGTTCCTTTCAAGGTTATCCATTAAAGAGAAAGACATGTTACATATTAATATTACAACAACGCCTTCCAAAGCCACTTCTTCCTCGGCAAAAGGAATAGAAAATGGGGCAGTGGGTGGGTGCTTGGAGCTGAACCAAGCTGGCCACCAGACACGGGCATGGCTCCCTATTCCTCTCTCCTCCCCTGGCATAGGCTGACCTCATATAAGTCCCAAGTACCAAAACAGCTGGATACACCACTGGCAACAAACTCTTGGCATTTATTTGCCGGGTCCTCGTGTTTAGCCCTTAACATCCAGATCTGAATCACTCACAATGGACTCAACTTTACGTAGTGAGTGACTGGAGTGATTCAGCTTGGCTGCGGTCTGATGGGGAGCCCACTTGATGCTTCATTCGAATGGCCTATTAACAACACAGGGCGCCAACGAATTGCTTTCTCAATCTGATGTTGTGCCATCCGCATTTCAGTCCGCTTCCCCGCTCTTCCTTCCTTGGATCCTGCCTCTGAGGATCCCTTTTACGTTTCACTGTCAAGCCACTTGGTTTTCAAAGGGTTGTACAGTGTTGGGAAAGGCGGCAGCTTTCCAGAAGTCTTTGGAACATACAAAGTCATACACACACTGCAGGAAGAGGCGTCCTCTTCTGTATGTGGATGGGGGTTCTGTTTCCTAGCCCATTTGTTTTCTTTGTGGAAGGTGTTATGGTGCTAAACCTTCTCAGGTTTCGTGGAACTTCCAGCACTCGGACTGCAATGCATTCACGCTGCACGAGGCCTGCCAGTAAATCAGTGGCTTAATCCCCTGTTCCTTTACCCAAGAGCAGGATGACCCTATTGACTTGCTCATACCCTTTGGGGATGCCGGAAATGGCAGCGGAGGACACTAGTCCTCCATCCCCCATCCGCTCTGCTGCAAACTACCCCACATCTCAAACCTAGATCCTAAGAAGACTGCTGCGGCATTTCCTGCTGCTTCTCGTGCGTCCGACGAAGGCAGCACGAGTTGGCCCCTAAAATAGGTGAATGTAGATCTGCCTCACTCACGGAGTTATGGTAAGGACTGTGGCTGCTGCCATCAGCACATGGAATTATAAAATGAACCAAAAAGCAAATGTCCTTTTGTTTTATTCGGTACCGGTGGAGAAGGGAGAATTTCCTCAGTGCCTTCCTGCATGGGCAAACCAAGGCCAAGCCTAGCTGTTGAGTTGCAAAGAAAGACATTACAATGCAATAGCTTGAAACCATATTTGTCTTCTCTAATTTGCAAGTCCTGCAAAGAGAACCAAAATCCTTCACCTGGCCATGGGGGGTGTGGGGGCAGAGACATAC